TTTTCGGTAAATCAATAAATGAATACATAAAAATTTACGACCGTAGTTACGTGTCAGGAGCCCATTACCCACTTGTTCATAAAATGCACTACAATTCTTTTGATGTTAGCGTATTGGATCAACTGATAATCCCCCTAACTGATGCTAATCTTTATTCTCTTCATTTTTCTGCTTGATATTGTATTGATATCACTGGAGTTGTTAATACCTTTTAGTTAGACACATAGTGAATTTCCGAGCGCGAAGAAATCATATCTGAACGAGCTAACCATACAATTACTGTACTGGAAGCGTAACAATTGAGCTTAGTCCCATAAAGAGAAAATTGGGTCAATCTTCAAAATAGAGACAATATTTTTTCAATTGGCGTTAAATACTTTTGTCTCTAAAAGATTTTTCAACGAATGCGTATGGTGATCCAGACAAAAAAATTTGCATACATGCGCTGTTTGGCTTCAAACGCACTTGCTCAAAGTATAGATGAGATAATGTTTTGAGAAAGTTACTTTCCGGTAGAAATTTGGTAGTAACTCTCCAACTATATCATTTCTTTCAAGGGCAAAAAATTTACGCCAAATTTTGGCAAGATTTCCGCACAGTCCCATACTTTATTATGTATACAATTCCTGGAGAAAGAGAACAATAGCGCAAACAATAGATGGCCTTTGGGTTGCGGCTTTGTTTTAGAATACTACAAATTAAACATGTTCGGGTTCATACGAAAATCTGTAAACCTTTCCTATCATGTCTCTCTATTACTATGCAGTAGTATGATGCTAGGATTGGTCGATTTGGCGGGCTATATTTCATTGTACGGTCCGAAAAATTCCAAAGTTTGTTTGAATTGAAAACATCCCCTCTATAGGTGGTTTGCAACCAATCTCTAGAGAAACAGGTAACAATGGCGAAAGGAACAAATGCTGGTTGTTACCGCCGCATGGCTGTATTTGTTTCTTTTGTTTGTTTTCTCGTTTGTAAGCGCATTTTTTCCCTCATTATCGCATTCTTTGTCCTTTTTTCGCCTTTACGTAATCAATATTCTGTTAGGTGTTTTCACATAATTTCGTCTCGCTAAGGCCCTTTTAGCCTGTAGTGTCGGCGTATTTTGGGCGCACGAGTGCACATATCCGTATTAGGCCGCCATCTTAGATTTGGTAACTGTGGAGGATTGGGGCGAGGAAATATTTGCCGAGGGAGTAGGTGTTAAGTAGAAATATGGGCAACGGGGGAGAGGAAGGGGAAGGAAAAAATACCATTTTCTCTCCAAATCACTCCCGCTCCCAATCGCGGAACGACCGGAAGAAAACTACTTTAGATGACAGGCATCAATCCAGTTTCAACCTACCGCACCAATCA